GGGGGTCCCCACGTACCGCTGACACTGAAGGTAACTTCGGGCTCCGGGCCGGGTTCGGGAGGGGTCTCCGCGTCCCCCCCAAAGCGCAGCAGTGCAGGACGGGCCTTTCCCCCCCCCGGCAGCCCCCCCCCGCGCCCCTCCCCCTCCAGCAGTGCGCAACGCACCGGAGCGGGGGAGGGCGGAGGGGAGGCGGCGAATTCCACCCTAAATTGGGACCAGAAGAGCCCTAGGAGTGGGGAAGAGGCTCAGCACGGGGGAGTGGATTTGGGGGGTGGGACATGAAGGGGTTCGGGGGGGGTCTCACCCGCCAGCAGCAGCCGCAGCCCCGCAGCCATCGCTCTCCGCTGCTTTCGCTTTCGGCTCCGCTGTGGCCACGCCTCCTCCGTCACTTCGCAAATATTGATGATAAATCCCTGAAATCCATTAAAAATAAAAGGGTCAGAGGGGGGAAACTCATTCAGAAACAGTTTTGGAGAGGGGTCATGGGTGGGACATCCCCTGCTTTCCCCATATGCTGACCTAAACACAGCCACTCCCACCCACCCCAGATCCCAGATGTAAGGATGAGGTTCCAGTACATATTTGACCCTTCTGCGCTTGCATGGGGAGGGGTCTTTAGGGTGTCTTTGTGATCTTCAGTGGTCTTCAGTGGTCTTTGGTGAACTATGGTGATCTTCAGTGGTCTTTGGTGGTCATCAGTAGTCTTCAGAAGTCTTCAGTGGTCTTTGGTGATCTTTGGTGGTCGTCAGTGGTCTTCTGTGGCCTTTGGCAGTCATTGGTGGTCACTGGTGGTCTTCAGATATCTTCAGTGGTCTTTAATAAAGCTGTTGAGGAGCACCGCTCCCAGACAGACCCCTGGGGGACACAATTTGTCACCACCCCCACAGGGACATGCAGCAGCCATTGACCACAGTCCTCCAGCTGCAACCACCCAACCAATTCTTTATCCAAGGATAAGGACACTGTGAACACTTATCTCCAATTCAGTGATAAGGATGTGGTGTGGGACCATCCCAATGGCCATACACAAGACGGGGTAGATGATATGGGGTGACCACGAAGGGATCACAGAGAGGAACACTGAGTGACCACGAGGAGCAATGAAGAAAACACTGAAGAAAAACAGAAAATGGTGTGACCATGAGGGGACAACAGGAGGGAACAGAAGAAATATGGAATGAGAATGGGGTAACAAAGTGGTGACTGTGGCATCATTACGGTGAGACCACTGGATGACCATGGGGTGACGATGGCCATACCGTGGGGTGAGCACTGGATGGCCATGGTGAGATCATGGGGGGACCACGGGGTGGGACGGGGGCCCTGGGGACCCCCGTGGGGCGGTGGGACGGCGGCAGAGTGTCGGAGGGAGCCCCGCGGCGCCGAACTCTGCCTGGAGACGGGTGACGCCTCCCGGCGCCGCCGACGCTCATTGGCCCTCCCCGCCCGGCCCCGGGCTCGCGGCCGGCGCGGGGTGCCGGGTCCCCCATCGTCCGGCGGCAGCAGCCATGGGGAGCGGGCGCGTCCCGGCGGCGGGGGCCGTGCTGGTGGCACTGCTGGCGCTGGGAGCCCGGCCGGCCGCCGGCACGCGGCCCTCGGGTGAGCTCGGAGCCGCGGCGCGGGGACGGCGCTGCGTCCGCCCCGGAGAAACCCCCGGAGCCCTGCTGGACGTGCGCGGCGCTCGGGGCTCCGGACGGATGGAGGGCGGGGGGGAGGCAGAGCAGCTGTGGGGGGCAACGGGGGGCAGCGGGGCCGGGGATAGGCGGGGGACCTGGCGGGGAGCGGCTGTGAGCCCTGACCGTGCCCTCTGCCCGCAGCGTTCTTCCTCTACGGTGTGATATTTGAGTGCCACTTCGTGAACGGCACCCAGCAGGTGAGGTTTCTGGACAGGCAAATCTACAACCGGCAGCAGACATCGCACTTCGACAGCGACGTGGGGAAATACGTGGCCGATACACCGCTGGATGAGCTGCAAGCTGAATACTGGAACAACAACACCGCGTTACTGGAGCAACGAATGAATGAAGTGGACACGGTCTGCCGGCACAACTACGAGATTGTGGAGTCCTTCACGGTGCAGAGGAGCGGTGAGTGCCGCGGGGCACAGCGCGGACGGCCGGGCACGCGCCGCGCTCTGGCGGTCGGTCCGCAGCGCTGCCCCCGTGCCCCGCAGTGGAGCCCAAGGTGAGGGTGTCGGCGCTGCAGTCGGGCTCCCTGCCCGAAACGGACCGCCTGGCGTGCTACGTGACGGGCTTCTACCCGCCGGAGATCGAGGTGAAGTGGTTCCACAACGGGCGCGAGGAGACGGAGCGCGTGGTGTCCACGGACGTGATGCAGAACGGGGACTGGACGTACCAGGTGCTGGTGGTGCTGGAGGCCGTCCCGCGGCGCGGGGACAGCTACGTGTGCCGGGTGGAGCACGCCAGCCTGCGGCAGCCCGTCAGCCAGCCTTGGGGTAAGGCCTCCGGCCGCTGCCCCGCCGCGGGGGAGCGGGAGCGCGGCCCCCGGCGCTGAGCCCCCGCCTTCGTCCCCGCAGAGCCGCCGGCGGACGCGGGCAGGAGCAAGCTGCTGACGGGCGTGGGGGGCTTCGTGCTGGGGCTCGTCTTCCTGGCGCTGGGGCTCGTCGTGTTCCTGCGCGGTCACAAAGGTGAGCGCTGGGGAGCGGGGCTGCGCCGGGGGAGGGGGAGGCTGGGGGTGGGGAGGGGGCTGCGGCCGTGCTGACCTGGTGTCGCTGTGTTTCAGGGCGCCCCGTCGCCGCCGCTCCAGGTAACGTCCCGTCCCGTCCCGTTCCGTTCCCGTTCCCCTTCCCTTTCCGATCCCATTCCGTTCCCGTTCCCGAGCCCGGCGCGGGGCTCAGCTCTGCCCGTCTCCCCCCACAGGGATGCTGAATTAGCTGCTGCTCCGCCGAGCCCCTCCACCCGCACCCCACGCATCCCCGACCGTCTCCTCGGCTCTCCCTCGGGCTGCCCCCTCCTGTGCCGCCCCTCTGCCGCCGCAGCGCCCGCTCTGTGCCCTCCCCAAGAAGAAGTCGCTCAGACGGCGTCCCGTTGTCTGCACATCCTTGGGGTCCTTCTGTCGTGCGACAGCAGGAGAGGGAAGCAGGAGGTCTGTGCTCTTCTATTCTCCTTCAGTGCCAGGTGGTGGTTTGGGTTCTTTAACGGAATAAATTCTTTTATTGCATAAAATCACCAGAAGGAATTGGTCTGTTGAGTTTGTAGGAGTGTTGGAGAGCGACAAAAATGTTACCTGTGAGCAAACATCGTTAAAAGTCGTTATCTGTGAATTTACCTCTTTACCCCTGCAGTGACACAGAAGGGAAAACACAAAACATAAATAATTTGCCGATTTATTCATCGATTTTAGGGTCCCTAAAATTGGGTTCACTGCCCTCCGAGTATTTCCCTATGGAGAAAAACGGGTGAAAATGGTTATTCCCTCCCTCCCCCCCAAAATCTGCTGCTGCATCGCGCTGGGTGAAGGTCGTTGTAAGCAGCGCACGGATTGCTCCGAAAATTGGGATTTTAGCGGTCATTAAAGGGTCAGACGGTGCGAAAAAAAAAAAGTTAATTGGGGTCAAAGCTCCGCCTGGGATTTGCTTTGGTGCGCGCAGCCCCATAGGCGGCACTGTCGGACCTGGGCTGGAGGAGCGCATTGCCCTCCTGCTGCTGCTGAGCGCAGCTGAAAGCGGAGCTCTTTGCTTTCGGTTCCTCCTTTTGCATCGAGTGTTCGGGTCCGGGAGCCGCTCAGGTGCTGATGCAGAAGTTCTTCCTCGGGTTTTGCAATGCGGGTTTGGTGCAAACCCAATTCCTGTGCGCGCTGCAGTGGGAGGAGCTGAGCCCGAAGTCCCCCAGGTATGCACAGAGACCATCGCCTTGCACCTGGAAGCTGGATGGACAGATGGGCAGATGGACAGACAGACAGACACACAGACCCCGGGTTGGGGGGAGGAATCGCAGTGGTGAAATCAGACAAAAATGATCAATTAAATAGGAATCTCTTTTCCTGCGCCATTGCTGCCGCTCAATTAATTTCTATGACTCGGTGCAAAGTGCCTTCCCCTCATCTCCTCACCCCATAAACCACCTGCAAAAATGCTCCCGAGGCCCAGAAATCCACATTTCAGGGCTGGAGAAGCTGCAGCCTCCAAGACAAGGATGGAAACTCACAGGTGAGATGAAGGAGAATGGTTCATCCATTTCCATGGATGCTCTTCGCCTTCCCGTGAGAGGCCAACCCAATGAGGGGAGCTGCCTTTGTGTCTCATTGTGAAGCTCTGGAAAAGAGGAGAGAAAACAGATCATGGGGCTTTGGGACGTTCCCTGCATGCAGAACCCTTACAGTCAACAAACTCAGTGCTTGAAATTGCTCAATCCGTTATCAAAGCTGATAGTCATTAAGGTATAGTGGTTACTTCATAGCTTTATAGAAATACATCTCTTTTTTTTTCATGGATTTTAAAGAGTAGACCCAATCTACCCGTAAGAAACCCATTATCCACCTCCTCACCCCAAAATCAGAAAGGAAACACTGAAAGACGAGCCAAGGAGCCCTGAAGTGGACAAAATACATTGGTGGCTCATTTGTGTGCCCCTCACCAAGTCCTCAGTGCTGTCAAACACAGCCAAGGAAGCACCAAGAGCAGAGCAGTTGTTCTGGCTGGACGTCCAATTGCTCTCATCCTCAGAAAAGTAATAGCATTTTCCTCTGAATCCGACCCAGTCGAAGGGACACTGAGCACAGAGCTGGGGATGGGGCTGGAACGCCTGCACTGCCATGGACAGAGCAAAAGGGATGAGAAATGTGGGAGTTGCACCTTCAAAACTGCAGGTTTTGAGAATTTCCACCCCAACAGTGCCCTAAGGTGGAGTTATTCATCGTTAATGGGAGAGAAAAGAGGTTTTTTGGTCCTACAGACCTCTTGGCTTGGTGAGACTCATGCCAGCATCTCTAACTGCTTGGACAACCAGCAGAGAAATGGCCCATTTTTCTCAAAAATAATCCAAGGCCAGGTGCAAAGAAGCCATAGAGATGGGGTTGGTCCTCTGGAGGAAGGTTTTTCTGCCCACTGTGATGCCCTACATTCATAGGGCACAGCCCATCAGCCATGGCTCTGGGGGCACAGACCACCCTACACTCATAAGGCACAGCCCTATGGTTGTGTATCCTAGGGGCACAGACCTCAGTGTGGGACACCCACAATGAACCAAAGGGTTTTCTTTGCTCTTTGGAGCCCTCAGCACTCACCTGCAAAGGCAACAGCAGTGATGAGCAGCACTGTGAACACAGCTGCCAACGTGAGCTGGAAGGTAATGCACGCCCGATGGCTGGGACCTATGGGAGAAGAGACCTCCAATGCATTGCTGGATCAACAGCGCATCCCAGGTGTGAGCAGGAGACCCCAAAATGTTTTGTTTTTTTTTTTTCCCCAAACAGTGCCTCAGTGAGGATTAATTGTAATTAATTATAACAAAACCATCACAGAATCGTATCAATAAAAACAACAGAACTCTTCCAAAATCTGGCTGCTCACAGCAAAAAGTCCACCTGCTGCTCAACAACCAACAGAAAATTTCCCCTTGAAGGAAGTGCTAAAAGAAATGAGACTCATTTTCTTCCCTCTCACATCCCTCCCCTTTGTTCTCAAATTAAAGAATTAATTAATAAAATAATAACAATAATAAACAGGTGTGTTTGGATCATGGCTCTGCTGTTACCTTCCCTCCTGCTCCGTTCCGTGCCCCAAAAGGTGGGATATGCCCTCATTTCATCCATTTTGGGGCTTCCACTTCACCTGCAAACCAAAAATTCCACCCATCAGCAGCGCCTCAAAGGCAGAGACCCATAAGGATATATTTCTGGGTGCTAAAACTCATTGCAGCAACCCAAAGGAAATGCAATTCCTCCCTCTGTGGCAATGATCATCCAAACAAGGATGGCAAGGAGGAGTCCCAGCATTGCCAGGGATTGGCAATGAGAGAGAACTGAAATTAAATGCAATGTCACATAAGGAAAAAAAATCCTCCCCCATAAAAATAAACAAGAGCAGCCACATCAGCCCCAGTTTGTGGGGAAAATCAGAGCTTTCCCCCATGCAATCACAACACCTCCCACTGCCACTCATTGCTACCACATGCAGTTAAACACCCCCCTCCCCTTGCAATGGAATTATTCCCCATGACTCAAAGCCAGGCTCAGCAAAAAGATATACCCCAAAACCCCCCAAAGCCCCCAAACCCATTGCCTGTGTCCGTCCGATGCTGAATGCAAAAAGAAATGTGGTGCATGGTCACAAAATGGGCTTTTTCAGGGGGGATTTCCACGTGGATGCTGCAGGGCAGATGGGGAAGGGGCGAGGGGAGATGCCCACCAGCAGAGTTCCCACGCAGGACGCAGCAGTTTTGCTGCCAGCATCAGGAAGCAGCTTCCCCCTCCTTTCCCTGCTGGGAAATCACTCCTTTTTAATGCTTTTTGATGCTTCTCAACCACGTTTTGCTCAGCT